CCTTGGAGTTTGTTACTGAATATGTTAAAGCTGTAATGAAATGCTTCTTCTAATCATGTAGTTATTAAAAATTAAAAAAAAGATTAAAAAATTCTTCAAAGCATAAAAATTCACTGCTTAATAATTAGTAGATGTGAAAAACATTATTACTGAAATCTAGCTGATGACTTTGTATCTATGCTCAGATGCCAAGGAGCTCAGAAAGTAACCAACTGTGACTAGTAATAATCAGGTACATACAGATGAGAGACGCACGTGCCAACATCTCAGTGTTATTAGCAAAACAATGAGTCTTTCTGTAAGAAACAATGTCTTACAGGGCTTATACTGAAATCAATATTACCTAGGGGATAAAGGGAAAGAAGGAGCTCAAGAGAGGTAGGACCATAGGAGAAGGGTATTATTAAGGGAGAAAGGGGGAATTTAGGGGCACCTTAATTGGGGAAACCATGATGGAGGGGTGAGATAATGTGAGATATAAATAATGCCTAGCTAGTTTTAAAAACCAGAGGGAAATCTATTACTTCAACAATGTACTAACAAATTATACGTACCAGATCAAGAGAAATATGTCTAGGTAAGGTTTATCTGAAAACAATTGGTCTTTGCCCAAGATTTATCTACATGACGCACAGTAATTAAAAGCACCAGACTGGTGGAACTAACCTTATTGGATGTTTATCCATAGTTTGAGGCCTATACTAATATGGTCAGAGAGACTCAAAGGACAGTTTTAACCCCTTGCCCTCCCAGGTTGACTAAGTTCCAGGGGACTATGGAATATCTCTCAAAACGTCCTGTAACTGTGGTGAGTCACCTGTCCTCTTGTTTCAGGGAGGACATGGAGACCCCACCAGATGGACTTGAACCAGGATCAAGTCTACAAAGAGGGTGGTAAAGTCAGGAAGCATCTCATTCATGTTTCCAAGTGAAGCCAGACATGACTGAGCAGGACCATTGACTTTTCTTCACATACATGGATCTGGTAAAAGAAAGGAGCCAGGAGCCTCTTCCCAGCCCATATGACCCCCACGAACAGATCCTCAAATGACCTTAAATGTAAAAATAAATTTATTTACTTGGGCCAACTGTATGGTCTTAAACACCCAAAAAGAAAGTATAACCAAAGAGTAAAGTCATCAGTATATTTCTTTAAGAGTTCAAGGGACTACACTTCCCAGACATTCGGCTTAAGTCTATCTCAGATGTAAGACTTCAAATCCTGGTCTCCAATACTGTAGTGCCCACCTGTAGCTAAGGGAGACAGCCAGCTATTGTTCTAAAATGATGGATTTTTTTCTCCCCCTATCCTAGAAGGCTTTGAGAGGGAGCTGACACTGATTCTAACCACTCCAACAGCTATCAAAATACCTGAAAGCAAATCCTGAATCCAGCACTCTAGAGTTCAACCTTGGAACACAAAAGAAAAATAAGGAAGAACCCAATACAGGGATGCTTTTGGAAGCCCTTGTCAAGAAATTCCAATGGACTCTCATATGACGAACATTAGAAAATTGCCTTCTGACTTTTTTCTAGTTCTCTGTCTAGAACTTGTAATGCTAATTACTCTTGCCTTTACTTCTCCTTCACATCTCCTATTCATGATTCAAAGACTTTTTTTTCTTCCTCATATACAATTTGGGAGTCTTTTAGATAGACCCACTGATGGGAAACTCCAATTACCTCACCCTGTGTCCCTGTTCAGCATGGAAGAAGCCAGAGCAGTCTGTGACTGGATTCCCTATTGGCAATTTGAGTGACCTCTTCAGAGGATGGTGTAATAAGAACAGGCTAAAACTCACAATGTCCTTGGGCCTCTTAGCAACCTACCCCATTTCAAAGGCCAAAAATGTCGAAAATATTTGGGATCTTTTATCTAATCCTTAAAAGATTTTAGGGTTATCTCTTCAGAAGGGGGAATGTTAGAGTAGCCAAAAGCCCCATTAAAAAAAAAAAAATTAAAAGGCTGAGCGTGGTGGCGCACGCCTTTAATACCAGCACTTGGGAGGCACAGGCAGGCAGATCTCTGTGAGTTCAAGGCCAGCCTGGTCTACATAGTGAGTTCCAGGACAGCTGGGGCTACAAGGAGACCTTGTCTCAAAAAAAAAGAAGAAAGTCCATGAAGTTATCAGAAAAAAAGTGATGGGGAGATATGGGTGGAGTTGGAGGGGAGGGCGTGGGCATGGATTTGATTAAAATACCTCATATGCATGTATGAAATTCTCAATAAATTATTTATTTAAAAAAATGATGTAAATGTCCATGCTTCCTCCTCAAATATATATATATTACATCATGCTAATTAGTAGAGGTGATAAACATTACCATTGAACTCTACCCGATGAGTTCATAGACATACAAAGGCACCAAGGATCCAAGTGCAACTGATTATGACTAATAATAATCAGATGCATACAGATTAGAGATGCATGCACCAACATCTCAGCATTAGTAGCAAAAACAATGAGTCTTTCTGCAAGGAAGATTATATTCTAAAAGGAAATGGAGATCTTTTTTTGAGAAGTATGACATCATCAGAATAAAAATGTCCACTTTTCAAATTAAGTGGCATGCAAATAGTATGTAGCTCATCAACAAGAAAAGATCTGAGCAGAAGCTACCATTGAGAGGGCAGACACTCTGCACTAATGATGCAAAGATTTCAACCATGTCAAATACTCTCAAAAAGCAAAAAGAAGCTATAAAGAAGTATAAGAAGCCAGAACATGTGACAACACACAGAATATCAATAGTACAGACATGATAAGGATTCAAATGAAAAGCTTAGAGCTAGGAAAAAAGACTTTTTAAAAAATATATTTATTATTTTCATATTATGTGTATGAGTGTTATGCCTGCATGTAGGTAAATGCACCCGTGCAATGCCTATGGAGGACAGAAGAGGCTGTCAGATCCCCTGGAATTGGAGTAACGGACAGTTGTTAGGTGCCATGTGGGTGCTGGGATTCGAACTCGGGTCTTCTGCAAGAATCGTCAGTGTTCTTAACCACTGAGCCATCTCTCCAGCCCTGAAAAAAAGACTTTTTAATTAAAATTTTGTCAGGGTGTTTTAGTAGTAGATTCAAGAAGGCGGACGAAATAGGGAACTTAAGGAGAGTCAACTAAGACTAGGCAGCAGAGCACAGTGCAGATAATGAAGTCAAACAGATGGGGGAACTTGTAGGATATAGGATACCATGTATTACATGTGTGAGAGTCTAGGAGAAGAGAGAAGGCACAGAAGTATCTGAATAAACAATAGCAGAAAACTATTGGCTAAAAGACATCTGAGAAGCTTACTGTCCATAAGATAAACTCAGAGATGTACCCCATTTGTATTAACTACACTGTTGAAAGACAAAGAAAAGGAGAGGCTCTTGAGAAATGACTCATTGAAGACAATGGATCACCATGAGATTAAAGCCAATTTCTCACCAGAAACTGAAGAACAAGCCGATTGTGGTGGCCTACACCTATAACCCTAGCAATTGGGGGATGTGGTAGGTAAGGAGTCCAAGGAGCACTATGGCTACATGGCAAGATCCTGTCTCAAAAAACAAAACAAAAGAAAAATTTAAGAACAGACAGCAGAAAAGAAAACATCAACTAAAAAGCCTACTTCCAAGAAAACTATCCTTCAGTAATGAAGAAGAAATGAAGACATTCTCAGACAAACAAGAGCAGAGTCAGTCAAAGTAGCTATGTTGACAGAAAATGCAAATGCAGTCCTTTAAGCTGAAATAAACTTGAAACTACATAAAGAAAAACAGAGAACATCGGCAAAGGACAGCTTTGGATAAACAGTGATGAACAAAAAACAAAGTGGCACAAGGAATAAAAGTCTAACAAGACAAATACATGGCACAGCACTTGTTAAAGAGAAAAGAGGCAGAAGAGAGTGAGAGGAACAGCAAAGAAACCTGTTCTGTTACTGTCAGAGTTCAGGTGGGTCAGCTCATAAGACTGAAGCCACTGCGATGACAAGCTGAAACTCAGTGAACCAGGACACTCAAGAGAAATGGTACCCATTAAGTAAACATGAGTCTTTGATCCATAGTTTGAATCAGCTGAAGAAAAATGAGAATACAGTATCTTCAAATGATCTAAAACCAGAGATTAGCTGGCTCTTGGATAGCAGAGTAAATTAAAGTTGTCTTTCAGATAGATATAATGAAACCATGTGATGATACACTGGGGAGAAGGAAAAGAGAACCCTTGTACCCTGCAAAAAAAAAAGAAAAGAAAAAAGAAAAAATTTTGATTCAGTTTACCCAAAGCTGGAGCTGTTCCTGGTAGCATCCTGAGCACTTGCATTTTTATGAGTTAATAAGCTATCTTCTCTTGTAACCTAAGAAAATAAAATAAAACGATTGACTTTTTGTTAAGGATACTAAAGTAACAAGTTTATGTTCCCTTCTAGTAAAAATAGAAAAACCAGCTTGCTTCCATTCATACCGTAGCAGTATGACACCTAGTTTAGTACTGCCCAACAGCCAAATTAACAATCCATGGCCTCAAGTTCAGTATGTTGACCATACAGTTCATACCCACTTACTACACAGATATTAGTTACTTAAGACACTACAGTGTATTACTCAATACATATAAAATTCACAAAGATTCAAATTTGTATGATAAAAAGAAGAAAACATGGGGCTGGAGAGACTACATGCAGGCATAACACTCATACACATAAAATAAAAATAATAAATAAAATATTTAAAAAAAAGAAGAAAACATGGGGCTGGAGAGACTACATGCAGGCATAACACTCATACACATAAAATAAAAATAATAAATAAAATATTTAAAAAAAAGAAGAAAACATGGTGAGCAGTACATTTGGCTATTGTTTCTCCTTAATTAGAACAAATATTTTAGGAAGGAGATCCAAATATTTTTTTAAAGAGTTTGGTTCCCCCAACATTATTAAGGTACTATTACATATAGTAAGATGAAATCACTTTAAATGTTTGATGAATTAGGAAATTCTCCTTCCTGTTCTATAAAAAGAGTTTCTGAAAGAGTTTGTATAGAATTGTTATTAGTTCTTTTAAAAATAGTAAGTAGATTTTAAACATGAAGGCATCTGGTCCTAGAATTTTCCTTATGAGGAGGCCTTTCACTATATAATAAAATCATTATAATTTATAGTAAAATCCTTATAATTTAGAGTTCTTGAAGTTATTTCTCATTTTGTTAAATAAAAAAAGATCCAAAAGTACAACTGAAATGTAAGGTCATGCTGCCTTAAGTTTCTTCATGCTGCTATAAGAAAATGCAATGAACCAACTACAAAAAAACAAGCATTTAATATCACATAATGCTAGAGGTTGGAAAGCTCAAGATCAAGACGCTGGCACATTCAGTTTCTGATGATGGCCCATTCCCCAGAGAGGGCAACTTCTTGATGTACCCTCACATGGTGGAAGGGACAAACAAGTGTCCTTAGTCTTTTTTTTTCTAAGAGCACTGTGTTGGTTTGAATGAAAATGTCCCCCATAGTCTCCAAGTATTTGAGCATTTTGTCTTCAGTTAGTGGCACTGATTCATGAGGTCTTAGAAAGTGTGGCCACGCTTCCTCCAGCACGTCACTGGGGGTGGGCTTACAGAGTTCTTAAGCCTTGCCCGATCTCCAGTCAAGTGCTTAGGTTCTGCTCTTACTCCAGCCACCTCTGCCACCATGCCTCCCTGCCATAATGGACTCTTTCCCCTTTGAAACTGTAAGCTAATAAACTCTTCCTTTTATAAGTTCCCTTGATCATAGTGTTTCTATCACAGCAACAGAAAAGTGACTAATACAAGCACTAAAACCATTCAGATCACAGTAGATGATTAACAGCTGTTAGAGTGACTGCCTCTATAAAGGCTAGCATTTATTTATTTAATTTATTTACTTATTTATTTATTCATTTATTTATTTATTTGTCTTTTTGAGGCAGGGTCTCCCTGTAGCCTCAGCTGGCCTGTTCTGGCTATGTAGACCACGCTAACCTGGAACTCACAGAGAACTGCCTGCCTCTGCCTCCTGGGATTAAAGGTGTGTGCCACCATGCCTGACTAAGGGCCATCTTTTTAAAGACAGGGTTTCACTATACAGCCCTGGCTAGCCTAGAACTTTGTAGACAAGGCTGGCTCCAAACTCAGAGATTTACCTGCCTCTGCCTTCCAAGTGCTAGGATTAAAGGTGTGTGCCACCATACCCGCCCAGTGCCATCATTGTCAGTGCTCTTCACGTTCTAGGCAGTATTTCATGTCCTTTGTGTTTGTTACCTTATTTCATCCTTACAATGCACCTAAAGGTAGCTATTGCCATTACCTTATGTTAAGTAGAAAATGAGGTCAGAGAAATGAATGAATTTGCCTCAAATCACAAAACTTGAAGGTGACAGAAGAGAAATGGAATTCTAGAGCCTATGCTGTCATATTTTATGTCTATCATATATGTAAATATTTTGCTTTCTGCTTGTTTTAGGGAAGTATGAACAGCATGCCCAAAGGCATCTCAGTTTTCTTCAAAGCTTGTGTCTGGGACAGAAACAGGAAATAGGAAAGAATATCTTCTCAACCACAGGAAACTATGAAATCAGAGTTGACAACCTGAGTTGGTGAGGCAAGATTCCATTCCGGTTTTATTATGGAAGTTTGAAAGCTAAGGAGCAAAGAAAAAGTTGCCTGGGAGAGCATGGCCGCCATACCCTACAGGTGTACACACTGTATCTGTCACCATGTGACAGTGAACTCCTCCTTGTAATCATTCTTGTTGCAACCAAATTTTGTTAATTGAGGGTAGGTAGGTGGTAGGAAATAGTAGATGGATAAAGACAACTTAGGATTTGAGAGAAACTTTTCAATTAAAAATTTTTTAAATTTATTTTTATTTTATGTGAGTGTTATGCCTGCATATATGTAAGTGCACCTGTGTGTGCAGTGCCCACAGAAAGAGGGCGTCAGATCCCCTGGAACTGGAGTTACGGATAGCTGACATTGTAGGTGCTGGGATTAAACAGCCAGAACAGCCAGTACTCTTAACAACTGAGCCACCTTTCCAGCCCCAAAAGAAAGTTTTTTTGAGGCATGGTCTCATTATATAGCTCTGCTTAGCTTGGAACTCCCTATGTAGACCAGGCTGGCCTTGAACTCAGAAATCCTTTTCAAAAAAAGTCACTGGCATAAAAGTGAAAAAATTAGGAATTCATTTTAAATTAAGCTTTGTTTGTAAAGTCTTATATACCAGAGCATCTTTACCACCTTAAACCACAACTGCATAGTCTGAATTTGAATTTAGAATTGGCAAAGGTGTTTCTTCATCTTGAGCACCACCTTGGTACTACACACTGTCACTTGTTGACTCCTACACTCTTTCCATGTTGCCAGGACTAAGGACTATGTCTGTTAAAGGCAGCTTACCTTATGCACTGCTTCTACTTGAGCCTTCAAAATATTACTCTTGAAGTCAGGAGGAACCCTCACAGCATTCAGTCCTGGGCTCTCCATGGCATTATTAAGACATTTCTCAGTCAACTTTACCACTTCTTCCTAAATGTTAAAAATATACTTTAGCACTCTTGACAGACCATAGTTATGTGGAAATAAGAATGTCAAAAGTTCATATTCAGACAATCAAGAAATAATATGCCTGAAGTAGTTACTTCCTATTCCAGGCACAGACAACTCCGGTAACCATCTACTTGCAGTCAGATAGCTTCCAGAATCACAGGGACAGGAACCTATAGGGTCTAAATGAAATCCAGCGGGAATGAATTTCAGCAAATGTCACACTCCATGCGTGGTTTAATCAGGCATTTGTCTGAGGTGGGATAGTCAAAAAATCAGCTGCTTAAAGACAGAATTGGGCTCGTTGATTTGTAAAGGTTCTAACCATTCACATTTCATGTTTTTAACTCTGGATTTTTCACCAGGGAGGGAACTGACTGTGTCTGGGATTATATGTAACAAATATGTAAGCAAATTATTTTCAGTTACACTGATGAGAGAATAAAGCATATATCCATTCAATAATTTAAATTAAAATTATATAAAAGAAATAAATTGGAACAGACTAATTAAGAAATGCAAATTATCTATATTACAATTAACATTTTGCTCAAATAGCAATTAATGACAGGCTAGCTGGAAGGCTTAGCGTTATCCTATCTCTTTTCAGGTTTGAAAAAGTTAGTGTGCTTACTTTAATTTTGGTGTTTCTCAATGTGGTCTCCACATCTACTGCTGGGTAGTGCCCCCAAAAACCCATAATTTAAAAATACTGTTTGTTCTTTTGAGAGCCCAGACTGCCTCTGCCTCCCAAAGGCTAGATTATAGGCACCTGACCACCAGGCCTGGCTCAAAAATTTGAATTTTAAACAGGCCTGATTCTACTATAAAATAAGAAAGTCTGAGAACTACTTTTTAAGATTTGACTATACCTGTGGACTTCTATTAACTCCTATTAGGTGAAGGAAGTCTGTGTGTGTATGTGTGTGTGTGTGTGTGTGTGTGTGTGTGTGTGTGTATGTGTGTGTGTGTGTGTGTGTGTATGTGTGTGTATGTGTGTGTGTGTGTTACTGGGGACTGAACCTAGGACATTCTGCAAGCTAGACAAATGCTGAGCTATATCCCCAACCTTCTTTTTAATTTTAATTTTGAGACAGGATCTCACCTAGCTGTCCAGGCTGGCCTTGAACTCACTCTGTAATTCAGGAGGGCCTGGAATGTCTTGAACTTGTGATCTTTCTGCCCTAACTTCTCACATAGTTGGGATTATGTCTCTGTACCACCAGGCCTAGTTCCTGAGTTCTCTTGTCTTTTACAATCACGACTCATTTAAATGCATTTTTTTTTCTTGAAGACCATTACGATGCAGAATTGAGTACTTACTAATCACTACTATTTGTACATAACAATATTCTCAGAGCAACCTCCCTCTGACATTTTAAAACAAGAATTCCACATATATAACACTGATAAGAATACAGACTTTTATCTTTCTGCATATCAATTATGCTAAAGCACCAAAAGTTTCAAAACTATGCATGTCTTTGGTCCCATACTTCTACTTCTTGGGCATTGATCCAAAGATACAATCAATGATGACTGCAAACATTATTTCTAAGATCTTACCACAACACTAAACAAGACAATGAAAACCGGCTATCTAAATGTCTAATAAGGGACTGAATAGACACATCCATGCAATTTTTTTAAGTACATTTATTTATTGTACATGTGTGTGTGTGTGTGTGTGTGACACATGTGAAGGTCAGAAGATAACCTACAAAAGTCAGTTTGCCCCTTCTACCAAGTGGATCTGGGGAATTGAGTTCAGGTCATCAGGCTTTGTGGCAAGTGCCTTTATCCACTGAGCCATCTTTCCGGCCCACATTCATCTAATTTAGTCATTACTTAAAATGTTTTGCTGAAATACAGCTTTCTTTTTTTTTGGTCTTTTTGAGACAAGGTCTCCTTATAGCCCCAGCTGGTCTGGAACTCACTATGTAGACCAGGCTGGCCTTGAACTCACTGAGATCACTTGCCTCTGCCTCCCAAGTTTCTAGGATTAAAGGTGTGCACCACCATGCCCAGCCTTTTTTTTTCCCCCCAATATTTTATTCATCATTTTTATTTTATGTATATGAGTGTTTTTCCTACATGAATGTAAGTGTACCTGTGTCGTACAATGACTGTGGGAGCCAGAAGAGGGATCTGGATCCCCCGGAACTGGAGTTACTCAAGGTTGTTAGCTGCCAGGTGGGTACTGGGAACTGAATGAACCCTGGTCCTCTGGAAGAGCAGCCAGTGCTCTTAACTACTGAGCCATCACTCCAGCTAATTTTTTAAACTTTAAAAAGCAGCATCATTGCATTTTTATTTTTGGAATGTATATATCATGAAATGTTTGGGCGCTTATGTCTGAAAATGTTAACTGGTATTATCTCTAGTAGCATAATGGATGGTTTTTTAATTTTCTAATTTTCTGGGTTTTTTTTGGTCTTTTTGAGACAGGGTCTCCCTATAGCCCCAGAAGTCCTGGAACTCACTATGTAGACCAGGCTAGCCTTGAACTCACAGAGATCCACCTGCCTCTGCCTCCCCGAGAGCTGGGACTAAAGGCGTGTGCCACCATGCCTGGCTAATTTTCTGCTTTTTGAAGCCTGCATTTCTATAATTATTGTGTATATATACAATATTTTTTTTAAAGTCACTACATTTAAGCTGCATGTATTAGCTTTATGATGTTTTCACTTTATTTTGTTATAGCACAAACTCCATTTATATCCAGGTACTACACTGCTGATTTGTTTGCTTATGATGACCACAGTGGGGCAAACGCAACAACAAAAGAATTAAAAGTATCTCAGGATTCTTAAATAGCCTGAATTAGATCTGGTCCTATAAGACTGTGGAACTGAAACAACTGTGGAATTGAAACAACTGTCAGAGTCAGGTTAGGTGCTCAAGTCAGCGTTGTTAACGTAGGATCAAAGTCTCATTAGAACCAGTCAGAATGATACTCACCACTTCTGAAAGGTTCCAGTGTGCTCAGAAAACAACTAGAACAAACAGAATAGCTTAAAGAAAAATAGCACTGTTCTACATATCAGTCCTAATGCTGAGGTCCAAATACCTCATTTAAAAGCCTCAGAAACACAAATTATTAAAATGAAAAAAATATACAAACCTCTTAATTTACAGTTTCACCCAGTCCTTCAAATAAATGGACGGGCTGAATCAAAAGGTTTAAAAATAATGCTTTTCACTGTGTGTTTTTAAAAAAACACATGAGATGACCTTAAAGTTCTGTTTTTTTTATTTATTTTTATTTTATGTGTATGTGATTTTGCCTGCATATATGTCAGTGTATTATGTGTTTTGCAATGCCCAGAGAGACAAGAAGGTATTGGCTCTTCTGGAACTGGAGTTTCCAATAGTCATTAGCAGTTATGTGGGTGCTGGGACTGAACCCCAGCCCCCTGTAAGAACAGCCAATGCTTTTAACCCCTGAGCTATCTCTCCAGCCCCTGACCTTAAAATTCTTTAACTTCCATGTGGGTACTGGAAGCCAAGCCTGGGTCCTCTGCAAGAACAGCTGGTGCTCTTAACCACTGAGACATCTCCAGCCCTCTGACCTTAAAATTCTTAATGCTGCTGTACATTTCCTCCTTTCTTCCTACATATCTACACTTTTCACCTTTTTAAGTGGGAAAATGGGTCTATAATAGCTCAGCACCTACAGATTTCCCACCAAAATAAATGAGACAGTATTGTCTTAGAAAGAAATTTTTTTTGGGAACTCTGGAGCTGTGCAGCAGGAAGTCACAGGAGAGATCTAAATACCTGGCTGTTGACATTAACATCAATGTTGGGTCGAGGAGATGGCAAGAGATTCTGTTCCACTTCAAACTTTTTGAGCTTCTCTGTAGCATCTTTTAACACTGGAAAAAAAAAATGGAAAATTTCCCATCAGTCTGCTAGACTTATACAGCCACATGATGGCACACACTTAAATTCTGTTCCTCCTCAATATCAATTGCCATCATGTAAAAGTAATAATCCAGATAAACACAAAATGAATATATTTTCCAGGAACTTTGTATTAACTAGACGAAGAGTTAATCCTAAGTAGGAGCACTGTCTATACAACTACTAAAAAACAAAAACACATGGATTCTTAAAAGCATATATGCTTAGGGCCTGTCTAGCCAAGAGACTGGAAAGGCAGAGGTCACAGGGCCCTTTTCTTTTTCTCTTTTTTTTCCGTCCTTTTAAGACAGGGTCTCCCTGTAGCCACAGCTGGTCTGGAATTCACTATGCAGATAAGGCAGGCCTCCATCTCACAGAGATTTACCTGCCTCAGCCTCCGCCTTGGAGTGCTAGGATTAAAGGTGTGTACCACCACTCCCAGCTCCCTTTTCTTTCTTAACCATGTCTAACCTCAGTACTTTTCTATCTTCTTTCTGGTCCTATCTATCTATCTATCTATCTATCTATCTATCTATCTATCTATCAATCATCTATCTATCTACCTACCTATCTTCTAAAACTACACATATTTGGAGTAACTATGAAAAGGCATATATCTTTTCATTTACTAAATCAACATTTTACATTTCAGTCCCATAAGGCATGAGGCAGGGCAAGTGTTTTGTCTTTACAGTGTTCTTTGTAGATACAGAATATATTATTAATACAGTCCACTCTTGAAAAGGAAATGGGTTATTCATTTTATTTGTGCGCATGCTTGTGTGTATGTGTGTGTAAGGTCACAGAGTTTATGTGGAGGTGACAGGACAACTTATGGGAGGTCCATTCTCTCCTTCCACCATGTGGAACCCAGGGATTAAACTCACATCAAGTACTTTTACCTACTGAGCCATCTCAATAGCCCTAAATACAATTCATTTTTTAAATGAGTCCTATTTAAGTTAACTGCCCTGAAATTATCTTTATTTTTTAAAAACATTGTTTTTTTGTTTTTTTTTTTTAATAAGTATGAATGTCTATAAGTGCACCCATGTTGTGCAATGCCCATGGAGGCCAGAAGAAGGCATCAGATCCCCTGGAAATGGAGTTATAGATGGCTGTTAGCCACCATATGAGTGCTGGGAACTGAACTTGGTCTTCTGTAAGAGCATCCAGTGTTAACTGTTGAGCCATCTCTCCAGCCTCTCCACCATTCTTAATATAAAAATATTCTATTCTCACTAACTGACTTTAAGTAAATGCTATAAATGTTAAACTTACAAATGTTTAGAGAATTATCATATCTTATTTGATCTTTTTAAAAAATTATTACTGGGGCTGGAGAGATGGCTCAGCAGCTAAGAGCACTGGCTGCTCTTGCAGAGGACCCAGGTTTAATTCCCAACACCCACACTGTGGCCAACAACCATCCATAACTCCAGTTTCAGGGGATCTGACATTCTCTTCTGACTTCTGTGGGCACTGCACAACATGGGTGGCAACTACCTACATGCTGGCAATACACTCATACACAAAATAAAAAAGTAAAATATTAAAAAATTTATTATTGTGTGTGTGCAAGACATGTGTAGGTGTGCATGTCACCTCACTAATGTCGAGGTCAGAGACAACTTTGTGAATCAGTTCTCTTCTACCTTTAGGCAGTTTCCTGGGATCAAACTGAGGTCATTAGGCTTGTGGTACTTTACTGGTTGATCAATCCATCTAGACCTTTATTTGATCATTTATAGTGATCCCTAGTTCATTATTACCATCTTGTACTAACTTAATACAATCTAATAATTTTAAACTCAATAACTGCTAAAATAGTATGATTATGGCATTGAAGGAATTCTTAGACTTTCAAATTTATATAATGGATATAAAATAGACTGTAAATGAAATTAATATTGTCAACTCTATAAAGTAGATTCTGTAGAACACAGTCCTCTAGGCCAAGTAGCTGCTATCTTCATGAGAGTGCCAACTTGCAAGAGTCAATCATGATGGAGCTCTGGGACTCATAACATTGCCTCACAGAGGGGAGGTGGTAGGGAGGGTCACTGGACCTTTACCTGAGTTATCCAGCCACTCTTCTGAGCCATTTGGATGCCATTTCACATTAAATGCATTTGGGCTAGGGGCATTCTTGGGGAGGGGCTAGAGTATACAGGCTGGGAAGGTGAAGTGGGTGGGGGGCAGGGCTCCAGCGATGTAGTCATGGGGCAGCTATTGGCCATGCTGGGTGCAGACCTTCTGGTGCATGGTGCTGTCCCTAACCGCTCACCCACGCTCTGTAAGTAAGCACAATAAACTTACTAGTTTCCCAGCGCGAACTCTGGTGGAATCCTACTTGTGGGGTAGGTGTTGTTTATGTCTCCATAATTCTCTAGGGAGGAATTCTCACAACAGGAGACTATTTTTATTTTGATCCTAGAATTACTTTGCATTAAAGTAGTTCTGCCTCTGGCAGGATCAAAATCCTGATGGCTGCCGGGCATGGTGGCGCACACTTGTAGCCCCAGCACTTGGGAGGCAGAGGCAGGCGGATCTCTGTGAGTTCAAGGCCAACCTGGTCTACATAGTGAGTTCCAGGTCAGCTGGGGCTACAGGGAGACCCTGTCTCAAAAAAACCAAAAAAAAAAAAAAAAAAAGTCCTGATGGCTTTGGTTTGTTGTTTTCCATATTTTAAGTTAACAAAGAACAAGCATTTCTAATAAAAGGTAGAGTACAGGCAGGGTTTTCAAAACTAGACTACCTAAAAGAAATTACTGCAGAGATCAGTACAACAGATAGTAATGGAGAATGTTTAGAAAAATCAAATACCATTACTCTAAAAGTACCAACATAACTCAGTACCAACATAACTTGTTGCCCTGATCTTATATCAGCAAGCACAATTTACACCTGGTAAAGGCAATTACAAACAACAGCCTTGTCTGGTAGGGTATCTGTAGTGGTTGCTTAGTTCTAACTCCACAAACAGCATGTTCTGTTAACAGAAGCACTCACTTCACTGACACTTCTCATACCACTGCAGTACTCCATAGTCTTCAGACAGCAGCATGTTTACAACTTTCTGTGAGTACTTCAAAGATGGTGACTAATTTTAGCCTATGATAAAATTAAAATTGGCAAGAGCCACATAAATACAAGCTGCTTGAAAATGAACTCATACCACACTGAGATGTAGCAGGAAACACGTGTTTAAAAACAATTTTGGATTTACAATCAAACCAAGCGTGCAAATATATATAGACATTTTCAATGAGCAATTTACTTTCTTCATTTTATCCTATGAAAAAAAATGAAGGAAAGGTGCTGGTGAGAGGGCTCACTAGGGAAAGGCACTTGGTGCTGTGCCTGATGACGAGTTCAATCCTTGGGACCCAGATGGTGGAAGGGGAGAACTGACTCTGTAGAGTTGTCCTCTGATCTCACACTCATGAGGTAGCACCTCTACACACAAATAAATAAAGTTAATGATTTTTTTTTAATTTAAGGAAATCAGGGCATTTGTTCTGCATTATTTCTTTTTAGGAAATAGGTATTAACAGCAGAATACAAAATATTTTCTAGGAGCTAATAGAATGTTCATGAAAAAAAAATCCATTCAATCTTGTGTCCTAGGCAACCTTTTAACTTTTTTTTTTTTCTTTTGAGACAGGGTCTCACTATAGCCAGGCTGGCCTTAGACTTGTGATCCTTGTGCTTCTATATCATTATTATTTTTTGTTTGTTTTGAGACAGGATCTCCCTATAGCCCCACCTGGCTGGGGACATGCTATGTAGTTCAGGCTTTTCTGGACGTGACAAGAAATTTGCCTGTTTCCTGAGTACTGGGATTAAAGGTGTGGAATACCATACCCTGCCCCATTATCTTCCTAATTTGTACTCAGAGAATAAATAAAATGCCAGAACGAACACATAAATGTATACTCACTCACAAATGGTACATGTTTAATGTTGTATTATCTTTAACTTTTCCCCAACGTTCTCCTTAGACTTAAAAACAAAGGGCAAGAAGGCCTAAGTTTCTCCATTATGTCATTACATAAAACATTTTTGGAGGAAGTGCTTTAAACATCTTAGGAATATTCAAAAGGAGATATGATAGGAAGGTGTTGGGGTTGGTGAGATGGCTCAGGGAGTAAATGAACTTGATGGCAAGTCTGAAGACCCAAGTGTGATCCCTGGAAGCCACAGGATTGAAGGAGAGAATGGCTGTGAGCAAGCTGTCCTCTGTCCCTGTGCACGCCATGGCATGTGTGCTGTCTGGTCCTATCCCCGCCACCCCCAACTAAATAAATGTAATAAAAAACACTTTGGGGGCTGGAGAGATGGTTCAGCTGTTAGGAGCATTCTTGCAGAGGACCTGGGTTTGGTTCCCAGCACCCACTGGGTGACAGCTAACAACCAAGGGAAACACTAGTGCCAGGGATCCAAAACCCTTTTCTGGCCTCCACAGGTACTGCATGCACATGGAGTACTTACATGTAGGCAAAACACTCATGCAAATAAATTAACAATAAATTTTTTAAAATTTGAAAAATATTTTCGATGTGTCACTGATAAATTACAGAACATTTACTTACTTCCACATTCAACTTTCGGCTCCTCTAATCCAGTTGACCTGGTGGTTACCTTATTGTCATCCAGTACTGAGGATGTTTCTGCAGTATCTGATGCCCTCATTACATCACCAATGGTTGTTTCTAGTAAGTCTGGACTATTTAGCAAATCAACATTTAGAGGCGAGCTGTGAAAGTAATAGAAGATTTACTCAAATCAAGAAATTTATCATGAAAGAATTTAAAATATAAACAATGCTAGAAAAAGACACATTGAAGAGATTTGTTTTTTGAGACAGGGTCTCACTACATAGCCCTAACTGGCCTGGAACTCACTATGTAGACCAGGCTAGCCTGGAACTCAACAGAGATCTGCCAGCTTCTGACTCCTGAATGCTGAATTAAAGGCATGTGTCACCACACTCAGTTCACTGAATAGTTTTACTGAACTGATTTTGAGCACAGTTCTTCTAGCCAAGATGGAGTAAAAGGGAATGGGTTAGCCTCCTACCCAAAATAACCCGAAGGGACAAATAAGCTACTCTCAGAAGACACTAGACGCTAGGCAACAAAAGGGAATGATTCTGAGATTCAGGAAAGAAGTGAGCCTTACAGTTGCTTGAGACAATGTCTAGGCCATAGTACAGAGGTGGGGAAAGGAGGGAGAGCAGAGGACTTTCCTACATGGTGAAACAGCTGGCGATCTGTGAAGAAACATCAAAGGTATTAATGAGGCCCATCCTTGGCTGTATCCTTAGTATTTCCGGTGAGGTTTAACTGAAGAGGGAGGGAAGATACACTTGGAATGTGAGGAGCACTACCCTATTGGCTGTGGTCCCAGATTGAATAAAAAAGGGGAAAAGCGAGGGCTGGAGAGATGGCTTAGTGGGTACTTACTGTACAAGCAAGTGGGACCTGAGTTTGGAGCCCCAGAACCAATTGAAAAGGCAAGTACAGTAGGAAGTGAAAATTTGCAATCCTGGTATTTCTACAGTGAGATCCAAGGTAGAGACAGAAGAATCTCCAGAAGCCTGTGGACCAGCCAGCCTAGCTTAGGTAGTGGTGGGCCAGAGACCCAGTCTTAAATAAGGTGGAAAGTGAGGACCAACATCTGAGGCCGTCCTCCAACTACAGGTATATTGT